TATTGAGAATCTTTTTTTACAATGATGTTCCTTTTGAAAAAGAAATGTGATAAAATTGACAACCTGTGTCAGGTTAAACTACAGTAAAGCCATATCTGTTTTAATCTTTTCTGACTGACCCAAAAAGGAAGTTAATTTTTTTTTACATTGATTTCAAAGAAAATATTTTATTAACTGAGAATACTATTTTCAGTTTTGAAAGAAATTGCATTGTTTCGTTTTGAAGTTACATAAATATTGCCCTATTTGGGAACATCATATTTCAAATGCTGCAACATGATAATAAACCTTTCCAAATATAATATTTTTATACTGAAGGCATGAAATAATCCCTTATTAATGTTTTCTGACTAGAAAATATAACTTGAAAATATTTTATTACCCGGATAAGTTTTAATATTTAATTTCATATAGCAAAAAATACAAAAAGTGTAACTTTCTAAACAACTAAGTTAAATAAATGTGACCAAAAGTGATTTTTCAGGTGTTTTAACCTTTCTACATTAAAATGCATGTGATAAAAGTTTGAAATATTTTATCCTCAAATCTTACAGTGCTCCCATATGAGAACCTTAAGCAGTAAAAGGTTAAATACCACTGTCTATAGAAAAGATGTGCATGACTCCTTTTTTTCTCTTAATAATCCTAGCATCAATGCTATTTCCTCTGCAGAAGAGGCCTGAAATTTTCAACAGTAACCAATCATTTTTACTACAGTTTTGAAAATTGGCCTTTAAGTTTTTTAAGCACTACTTTATTAAAGTATAAATATAAAATGAGGAACTGATCTGAATGTTTAACTATTAACTCTTACCTATCTTGTAATTTTAGATATTTAAGTTCAGTTCAGTTGCATTTATTTAAAATACCATGAAAACTGTTTTTGTGTAAAATATGAGTAAATTTAGATGTCACATTTTATCTTGTGCTTTTTCAAACAAGTATGAAACTAAGTTACAAAATAACAAAATTGTGTGAGTAATTTCATGTGTTTACTGGCATATTTCTTTAAATGTCTACAGCATGTGTTTTTGATTCCATTTCAGTTTGATATATTTATAAGCATGATCACCTGAGCAATGTACACATTATTTGAAATATAATATTATGTAAGTTCATAAACACATTTATGGAAGATAAATATTTGAACAAGTTGAATTTGTTATTTCTGTAACTTAAGAAAACAAGCATCCTTATTCAATTAATACATTTATTTTCCTTGACTTTTAGAAATATCACTGTTACCACCAATTTATCTCTGTGTTTCTATTTTCAAGATTGTTGACTGCACTGGAGCCAAAATATTTTTCATGAATGATTTCTTTTTACAAATGGCACAAGTTATCAACTGTTAAGTTTATGTATTACAAAAAAGTGTTTTATTCTAATGTGTTGAATAACAGCTGTAAATAATTGACTGAACACAATGAAATTTAATCTCTTGGTTGTACCACTTGGTTGAATCAAACAGTAATAGCTCAAAAATAGTAGATTAGGTCCATTCAACTTCATCTCTAAATTATAACTCTAGGAACTGAAGACCTAATAGCTGATAGTAGTTGACTTGATCTATTCAAAACCTTTCTGTAGATTTAAGTAGTGAAGACCTAATGGCTGACAGCAGTTGACTAGATCCTATAAAGCCAGTGTAGCCACATAGAAGTTACAGTGACCCAGATAGTTCCTTAATCATTTTCACTCCATTGTTGATCTTCCCTGCATATTTATTACAGTTTTACTTTGCACTTACTTTCTTATACATTTTATCATTTATTTGATAAAATATGTTACTGAAACTTTACAGTCATTTAACAATTTTAGTGTTATTATCTCTAATCACAGAAACATATAAACTCATAAATCTAGTTAGTTAGGACAAGGCATATTGTGATTGTTTTTGAATGTGACAAATATTGCAATGAACAACAACTAAAGCTTGAATATTCTAAATTAATAGCTATAAAAAGTGACCCATGAGAAACTTGTGTATTTATTTAATACCCTTGTTATGAAATATTATTAATGAACAAATTTATAAATGTAGTTCACCATTTAGTGTAAAAATCTTTAATCATTGAAAAATATTCTCACAGTTGATGCACACTTTTTTTCACTTATAAATGTATGATTGGGTCACGTAGAATCAAACTTTAAGATATAATAGTAATTATTCTTTGTAGTTTAAAACAAATTTGAGGTGCGGAATTGGTATGTTTTAAAGTTCCATTATTGTGTTGTATTTCAGAAACTGAAAGAAAAGTAATCTAGAAAAAAATAGGTTGTATGAAAACTTGATTTTTGAACTTCAAATGATTGGGTGTTTTCACTTTTGAGTTTTTAAAGCTGGATAGCTCTGTTTTGTTGAAATGGTTAGTGTTAAGGTAAAGATAATTTATTAACAGGTGTTGATATATTTGCTATTATCTCTTTTTATATTTTAAATAAGTGTTTCCTTTAAATATAGAAATGGTTTATACATAGAAAAAACTGTAAAACTTAGAATATTGTTTAGAAACCTAAAATTAAGCAATTTAATTATGAAAGGTTTATTAAGTAGTAATAAACATTTTTTCCTATGATTTCTTTCCATTACTTTGTATATTTCTACATCAATATTAAACACTTGTTTCTCTATTTTTCAAAATTCCTTTAAAGTTTATAACATCTATGATATAATGTTGAAAATTTTTAAGGTTTACAGTGCAATTAGCTTAGGGAAAGAATGTAAGTTAAAGGCAACCGGAGATTGTTTTACACTCAAGTTACTGTCAAAAATATGCAACATGGTATATTGCATAATAGTTTTGAAAACTTATGTCATACAATTAAAATGTTACTTCCATGTAATTAAAATAAAAAGATAAATTTGCAAACTAAGAAAAAAACTGCTGTACAAGTTTGTTATTGTATATGACACAAAGATCTGCAAACTTTGTATAACTTGGAATTTTTTACATCATAGATTAATGAAAATTTAGTGAGTAAAATGCAATAAAATTTCTTTAAAAATGCTTGTATAATGTGATTTCTTTAAAAATGTTCATAGGAAAATGTTATCATAAGAAACACCTGTATACCTGTTAAAATAACTAGTTGTAATCATTTTTTAACTATTCTGGTAGAAATATTGGAATTGGTTTATGTATAGTCCAAATAAAAAATATATATTAAAAATGTATTACTTGAGGTATAAATGGAGGATGCATAAGGTTTTTAAATCTGATGTGATGTGCTAAAAAATAAACAGTTTATTTAGATACTATTTATAAGTTCTGAATTTTTGTCTGGTTGAAGGAGATTGTTATGAAGAATGTATATTGTCTAAGAAATTTATATAGAAATTATTCCATTATAATATCATTGGTTTGACTATATGGCTTCTTTGTGTACTTACAGTAATGCTGTCTAATTTAGTTGAAGAGCACAAACTATAATAAAACGTAAATGCATTAATTTTTTTGTAATGCAAAATAATGAATAGCATGATTTTGATAAACGAGTTCATTAGAAATCTTTGGTATGTATTGGCAACAGAAAAACGAATATTTGAAGTTTTAGATATAACTTTGAAATCTAAGATCCATATTCTTAGGAAATTTTTCTCTTGAGATTTAATGAAATAACTAGAGTGTATTGCAGTGTTTTTTTGTTTGTTTGCTTTTGTAGTAGAAATTATAGATATACAAGTAGATGTTTGATGACCTCTCAGTTTTCAGGTGGGTGATTATTGTCTTTACTGAATTTACAATATTAAAAGATTATTTTTTTGATTGAAATAATGTTTGTATAAAGCTTTATAAACCTAGTATAGCGCTGCTAGTAAAAAAAACAAGTGTATGAAAAGTCTTAAACTGTACTAGCTGTATCTACTAGTGTAAATGTAAATTTGTTATACAAGTATTTTGAAACTTAAATGACTTGTTGATCAAGTCAGTACTTTTGTAATTTGCTATGTATTACAATAAATTAACCAATAATGACAATATTCTCAGCTTTTCCGACATGAGTTATTATTCCATTTCTCTGCCAGCCAGAATTCATTAAATAAATGTATGGTTCTGTATAACTTAGGGAATTTTCTCAGCTCAGTGGTAACTTACGTTAGCAGAAATACAAGCTAGAATACATGTTCCCCAGAAAATTTTTTATTCATTGATGCAATTTGGTGCATTTTTTGGATAAATGTGGGGCTTAATTTGACCTGGATCCAACAGGTCATCCAACCTCAATGAATTATACATAGCTGGTAATTTTGAATAACTTTTACTTTATTTTTTACTGAGGCATGAGAATAAGCCCAAATGTGTGAGTATTGGTAGCT